CCTTGTCACAGGCTTCTATGGAAACTCAACACTCAGAGCTTTAGGGAAGGTCTTTATGTTGATAAATAACTGATTAAAAGACAGGGAACAGAAGGTAAGTAGGTTAGCCAGACAGCACTAGCAATGGAGGGAGGTCATTAGCAGAGTTCCACAGGGATTTTTGTAGAGGATGCAGTTATTCGTCATATTCCTAAGCAACCTGGGAAAATGGATGAGCAGTGAGGTGAGAAAGCTTTATAATGATATTAACTTATGCACAGTAAAAAGGATGATGGCTTGCTGGATGTGAAGAATTAGGAAAGGTGCTTATGGAAGAGAGTCCCTAGGAAATAAAATGGCAGATGAAATTCTTCATAGTTGAATGCAAAGTGGTGCAGAAAGAGCAAAAAATATTCCAAGATCAAGAGGCATTATATACACAATATTGCATGCATTCCAAGAGAGCATTAGAGGACCCTACCACATACTATTGGCTTGTTCTTACTCTCCTGGTAGGCTTCTGCTTATAGTCACAGTTTGAGGTAGGATACTGGTCTGGGTGGATTTTTGGTCTGACCAGGTGGAGGAACTGGGCTTTTTTTACAGATGTAGCCTGAGATCTAATACGGCTCATGTGACAGAAAAACATTCTGGTTTAGGACTCTACAGATTTACTGTGTCCATGCATGGAAGCAACCATTAACTTAAACCTGCTAACTATTGATGTGCACAGCATTAAGAATTCTGAGGAAGGTTTCAGCCCTTTAGAATATTACAAACCAGCCACAGGCCCCTCTACTGGTTAGACTGGTACTGCCCAGATAGGACATGTTAATCATGAAAAATGGGAAAATACAGAAAGTTTCTTCACCAGAGGATGAAGACAAAAATATTTAACAGAGGAATGTGAATAAAAAAAAAAAAAACTAAACAAGAAACCACAGCCAAAATCTGTTTCTTTCACGATTAGCAAAGCCAGAACACAAAATAGTGTGAGGTTTTCCCCTGGAATGATAAGGCTGAGAAACTGGAGCTTTTACAGCTAATGGTGAAAATCTCAAGAGAACAGAAAATCCTTCTTGCATAAGATCAGACAATGAAGTGACTCTTTTTCCCTAAGAGACATCACAGAAGCTCAGGCAACTTGTGGGAGTCATTATCCAGTTCCACTAACGAGGAAAGGGAGGTGTATTCACTACTCACTACTAAACTTGTGAAATCCCAATACTATGTATGACTTCAAGAAGTCTTAGGCAGGAGGTCTCTACCTCCATATCCATCCATCCATCCAAGTGGATATGGTGTGTCTTGGCCAGTGCTGGATCAGCAGAGCTATAGTGATCCCTCACTCTGCCGTCCAGACTATGCTGGAAGCACTACTTCCTAACTTCCTACTAATTCATCTGATAAGATGATGAAAGAGAAATAGTCCCAAAATTCTTCATTGTCCCACATAAAGGAGAAGTCAAACTGAAATCAAGCAAAGGTGTTAAAAAGAGCAGTCAGGAATTGCTACAATAATTCAGTTCACACTCATTGTGACAAGTACTGTGCTAAAGCACAGTGATGAGAAAATTCCTGGCTTCTCTTTAAAAAAAAATGTACTGGTACATATGCAGTAAACATTAGTTTGATGAATAATATACTAAACCACCCCTAGAGTTTATAATTGTTTCTGATAACAGGAGCAGGCAGAGTCTGCTGCTCAGTGATCTCTCATGTTTCCAGTTCTCTCTAGCAACTAACATGGGAAAAGAGAATCTCAACCAAAATTACCATTCAGAAAGAAAGTAAATAGGAATAAGATACCTTGTTCAGCCTGGATTCATAGAGATCTGGCTGAAGACAACTACTTCATCTTCTGATAATCCTAGCGAGCAACATCCAAGATACAACAAACTTCTAAACTTCTACTGTTTAGACTTTTACACACATGCATATGATTTGTAGGCAGCAATATGTCTAATGCAAATGGCAATGGCAGCTGGTAAGCAAAGCTCTCCACGTGGTACGAGTATAGTTCACAGCTCAGGGCCAATCTCTGTAGAGTCCAAAAAGTCATCAGTAAAAAGCAACAGTTTTGACAGTCTGAAAGGCAACACTACTCTGTGTCACTCTTCAGTGCCCCCCACTCCTGCAGCTGTCCTCTGAGCATGCCTCACTCCACGTGCTCAGGACTGTGTCCCACTCAGAAACACATCTGCAGCAGGTTGCTCGTCTTCACAGAGAGGCCACTCTAATCGTCAGAGATTCTGCCCTAGAATCAGCTCCTTCCTCAGACTGCTTGCACTCTCCCAGAAGGCAGAAATTGCTAGTTTATGTGCTTGTCTGGGTGGAATCCAATCTTTCTTCCAAGGTGTCCTACTGTGCAAAAATCTGTGGTGTCTGCCTCAAAAGCATTCTCCATGAGAACAATACACTTTTTACAGGAGCAGGAGGGCATGTCAAAGCAGGTACAAGATTGCAGGATATACTTGCATGGCTTCAAAAAGGGAAAAGTGCAGAGAAACAGTCAGTGTACTGAACCTGTTCCCTTCTTCACAGACTTCAGAATATCTAACACTTACTACAGATTTCAGCAAATATGTTTATTAGTAGCAGACGCTCCTGTCCAGAGGTACAAAGGAGAAGGTTCTGTGCACCCATAGCATGGCCTCATTCTCATTACACACAGTGGAAATAATATTGCTGATTTTATTAGAAATTGTGTCAGATCCTGTCACCAAACTAGTCAGTGAGCTAGGAAGTGTTGAGGAGAAAGTCTTACTTCTGCCTTTTCAGTCCAAAACAACAGTGATCCAAAATATATTTTCCCATTTCAATCACTTTCCTCATTTAATAAGGCACTTCTCAGTGTCCTGGAGTAATAGTATTGTTTATTGATTACTCATTTTAAAAGGGAATTCCATCTGTTTTATTTCTGCTTATTCCCAAAGTTTCCAATCAAACAGGGAATAAGATCCTAATTCTGGTATGGTTCACAGTGAAGTGAAGGCTACATCTTCATTTTTATCTTCTGCTTTGGAGTCCATGGATGGATAGTTTCTTAAAAAAAACTTCTTAAACACTAGAAAATATCAACACTTCTGTGAATGGGAAGATGTGCAAAGGTTCCTTTACATGTTTGTTTTTTCTTTTCTGTTTCAAAATAGGATGGGGAAACTTCACAAAATATAGTACTACAGAAGACTCAGATCACTTTGACATCAATTCCATGCTGGGTTTTATAAGCAGAAGGTCAAGCAAATTTAAATATAAATAGCACAGTAATTTCTGTTCATATAGAATAAGATGGATGACTTAAGTTAGACTCCGTGGGAGGTGATTTGTTCCAATGTACATGCCCATGCACCAGCATACATCCAATCTCCTTTTTTACTAATGCAGGTAGGGACCTGAAATCATAGTTTTGTTTGATGCTCCCAGGATTAGATGCCCTTGAACACTGTCATTTCCATTGCCTGGTTGATATACTTCACCTAGAGATTTGCATTGCAGAAGCAATATCACTATTCTCATTCGCTCTGAAGATCTAAACATGAATCACTACACCTCTTAATTCTCCTCATGCAATCAAATCATTTCCTAAAACACACTGACCCTCCAATCCCATGTTATCTACTCTTCCTGAAAGCTAATAGAACCAGACTAATTTAAACAGTCTCCTCTAATTAAGCCACCTCTGTAGTTTCTCCCAGTCTCTCTCCCATTCTTCAGTGATAATCCCATCTGCCACTGGAATCTGCTGTGGCACAATCCAATTGTGACTCTACTACTGAAGAGACCTGAGAGGGTTTTGAGTACCCAAAAATAATCAGGATTCTCATGCCTTTTGAATCAATCATTTCCATGCTTTATACAGTGTTGCACATAACAGGTTGGTTTTTTTATGGAAACAAAAAAAAGAGGGCCTGAAGAAAACCCACATTACCTAATGTAATACAACTTGTCTTTAATATCTCACTGGAGCCCTAAGCCACATATGCATGATGTACATGATCTCAATTCAGCTTAGCTCATGCATCATCTCTTCTTTAGTGGAATAAAGATGTGAAAGCCCATGAGAAAAAAGCAAGCTAAACGTATTCAGAAGTACCCATTAATTTTATTACCAATTCAGAAGAAGTCCACATTAATTGTCAACATTGGCCATGGCACCAATTCTGTGATGTCCTCTTTGTAAAGCATATACAAATTATTTTGTCTGTACTTGCTTTTCATGGCCACCATTTCACAGAGTACATTTTGTCTTGGACTAACCACAGACACATACTGAACAACATACTGAAAAAATCCTTGATGCTTTTTTTCCCCCCTTCTGTCTGTTGTACAGTATGTTCCAAATATGGAGGGTAGAAGACATTGCTAAAATACAATTGCTAAAAATCTTACCTACACTGATCTTAAAAATCTAACCTTAAAAATTAATTAAATTCACTTTTTATCACTTTGTGTTTAAAAAAAGGCTTTTTCTGAACAATTAAAATGTGCAGATGCTTAATTTTGTTCACAAAAATTAGTTTGTTCCCAAAAGTTACTTGTCATTTCACTAAGCTGATCTTTGGCTTGCACATATTTCAGAAGAAAGCCTTTTTAACCTTCAAATCCTGGCATGTAATTGGCTTGCTTTCCTTCTCTCATTCCATTGTTCTGTATCACGTCTTTCATTTTAATTTTTCTTCACTTTCTAATTCTTTTCATCAGACTTTAGCTGCTACTCACTGTTTCACGGGATAACAAGTTGTGGTGCTACTTCATAGCAAAGAAGGGCCACCCTGCAGAAGTCAATGGCAAAACTCCCAACCACATTAAAAAAAAAAAAAAAAAAAAAAAGTCACCCTGATACATTTTAACTGAAACTGTCCTGGACTGTCAATTAATAACTTGTCATTATGTATTTGTTAACTTTTTACTTTTCTGGGTTGAAACACTTAGAGAAGTTGAGTTTTCTCTCTTCTCCTCTTTCCCTTGAAAGCAACAAACATATTCCCTTCCTTTTAAAATGTAATTATGTTTCTTACCATCCACGCTGTGACAAAATCTCCCATCCAAGTCCCAACTGCAGCTACCTTCATAAAATTTTCATTTCTGATGCCCATGAAGTCTGTTATAATATATGCACTGTGGAAACAAGAACACAAACGTAAGATATACACATTTGCTCAATTTAGTTGCAAAGAAGTTGCATTAGTGACAAAATTTATGATTATCTGTGAAAGATTTCCCATTGCTAACATAATAACTTTTCTGCTAGATCTGAGTCTTGACACAGAACTGAACCCATATGGGTTGATTCCAATTAGAAATGCAATGTGATTCTGATTTTGAAGTCCATGTCTCTTTTGAAGGTGCTAAAATAACAGCTGGCAAAGACTTTAGGATTATGTAAAGATTCTGGAAGTAGAAAATGTTTCATGCTTTTTATCTTTTTCCATTATACAAAGAGAATTACAACATTCTTCAAATTGGTGACTTTGCAAAATCTTCATGAAGAAAAATAAAAATCTTTCAGGTGTCTTTAAAAAGATGATTGAACTGTTTGACTTTTCACTGTATCTAGTTATACAACCACATTTTTAACACATCAGTGCAAGCAAGTTTTGCAAAATTTTAGTGAGATGTTATTGTTTCTAGATTTATGCAATTTATTTTCACAGATATATTTTACTTAAATCCAAAAGAAGCATTTCCATTCTGCTTCAATAATGCAACAGATATAGGGCTTACAACCTCACTTGGTAATTTGACTTCAAGTTCACCAAGATGCTACAAGAAGAATTAAGAAGATAAAGTTATTTGTTCCAAATTAAAATCTTCTGAAAAAACATACATTTTAATATACTATTATCCTTTTCTGAAAGACTTTTATAGTGAACCACAAGAGGCAAATCTCCTCAAGGGCTAATAATGATGATAATGAACATGAATGGCAACTGTATTTTAACTTTACAGGTGATAGCTTTGTTTTCAAGACACTTGTATACATTTCTTAAGCAAAATCAATCCCCAACTATTTTAATAACATTCCATGTAATTAAAAGATCATCAGTATCCTAAATTCACCATGTTATAAATAAGGATGCAAGAACCCAGGAACAGGATCATCAGGTCAGCCTAAAGTCTCCCTATTTCAGTATTCCGTCTCCAAGAGAGGGCAACAGCAGAAACAAAGGAAGACTGAAAACAGGCAAGCACAATCCTCCTAGAGATATTCTCCCAGATGCTTTAGAACTGGAAAATATTTGGAATTCCCTTTTTTCCTGCATCTTGGGCGTGCCATTCTTGTAGCATCTGTGAAGGCAGAAAATAATCAAGTCTGCATTCCTTAAGAAGGTGTCTTATACACAAAGAAGGCAGGGCAATAAGTGTGGTGTGTAAGGAACAGCCCTCAAATGCAAAGCATGTCTTAGTCTTTTCTATCAGTGGGAGAAACACACAAAACCCCAGGCTTTTCTCATATGCACCACATATTCTCATATGCATTACACATGATTACAGGTGTACAATAAGCAAACACTTGTATAAAACATCCCCAGAAAACGAGCCACTTGTGCGACTCCTGTAGCCCTGGCATAGAGCAGGGCTGCCTCAGCCACCCTGGCAGGCTGCTGGACACAAGGAGGGTTAACCAAAAAGGCTGAGAGGTCATTGATCCCTGAATATGGGTATTACCTACCCATATTCATTCATAGAAGAGAAATCAACCCAGACATAAGCGGTTCTTTTTAATGGAAATTGAAATGCTCAGTGTAAACATTTGTTTTTATGAATGTTAGAAGTATCAGAAGGCTTATCATAAGGCTGAATGAGCTGGATACAATACTTAAATACAGAGAAAGGCCTTGAAAGCATCACATCTTCCCAACAGTTCTTTCTTGTCATTTCAAACATGAAAACATCAAAGAAGCCTAGTATAAATTGTGCATTCCAGTCTACAGGTAATTAATGCCTGAATTAAATATGCAAATAGGCAAACCTTCAGTTAGTGTCAAAATAGTATATTATTATAAAGAAACTGTTAGGACTATAATCTGTGCATGTTTTAAGTGCATTTACTGATTAAAATAAAGCTACAACTTTTTATGAACAGGAGGAATATTTTTAGCATTGTCATCTTATTAGGAATTGTAATGAAATACATTCGTATTTCATTAACTGTTAGCGCATTACACCCGGTGTGTTTTATGCTCTCTGCAGTATTATTTTTATTTCAAAACACAAAGAGAAATTGACTATTTTAAAGTAGGGATTTGGGGCTGCTAAAAAATTAATTTTAAAAAACAACAAAAAAAGAAACCTAACCCTCCAGTTTTTATTTTCAGGTTTTAGTTTAAATAGAAATAAGAACACTTGCCATTTTCAAAAAAGACATGCTTTCCTGATGATACTAGCAGGATATATATTATAACAGTACCAAAAGTAAAATTAATTCTGTTGGGGAAAATCCTCACATTTTTCTAGCTTTAGCTAGTGATTACAGTATTTTTCTTTAATTGTTTAGTCTTCTTCCTTGCTAGGATCCATGTCTGCACCCTGCAGGACGACTAAGGTCTGCTGGCTTCCAGTTAACTGTCATGGACAGCCCAGCTTTTCTCTAGCTTCTCAAAAGGCAACTGTTTGCTTTGCTATATGTGTATTCTGCAGGAAGGCACAAGCAAATTGCATGAGCAGCACAATCTGAGGAAACATTGAGTGAAAAAACACAGCAATTAAAGCCCAGAGTGAAAAAGCTCTTCTGAAATAGACAGGATAAGTGTAAATAATTAGAGGCTGAGGGTCCAATACTTATGAATATTATAGATAAAGGACAAATTTGTAACTGGGATTTGGGAGCCTTTAACAGTAAGCTGCAGCTCCAGGGAAACTGCTCTTAGCAGGCCAAAGTCTAAGGAAGGTAGACCAACATTTTAATAGAACAGGATGAAAGAGAGGAATCAAAAGACAAAGGAGACTAGACAAACACAGTTCTAAAACAGATTAAAAAAAATAAAAACCGTAAGTAACTGTCTACATCCATGTTGACACAAAAGGTATGTTAATAACCATGAGTCAGCAAAAAGACATATGAGCCCAGTGTATTTGAACAGTTTCTGGAGCTGGCAGGAGTGTGCACAGAATGGATAAAGAGGGAGACAACCACACTAGCCCAGAGACTTTGTTCAAAGGAAGGTATCAGAGCATCTTTTCAAAGAAGGGTGACACTACCAAAATGACAGTCTGAAAGCAAATGGAAGGTTTTAAATTTTACATTGGATAAAGATGCACAAGTCACTGTGGTGCTATTGACACTTTTCCAAGCACTGGAAAAATGTCATGACTGAGACTCAGTGCTGAGACTGTTTTCTTGACCATCACAGGGCCTAAGAATGGGCTATAGCTTAAATAGAGACACTTCAATGTAAGTGTAAACTAGGAAGTCAAACCCTCTGTGGAGCTTGGTAAGACTGGGTCAATGATTTACTTGCCTTACATTTCTTCTTGATCGCAAGCATGTAGAAAAAAAAACATGTTCACATACTAAAAGGCATTGTTAAACTTATGTGACTAAGTGATTCCCAGTGATGTGGCATAACTTGATCTCCAGATGATAATCCAAAGAGCTTTGTATCTCTTGTGAGGCCTGTGACATATAACTGACAACCAGGACACATCTGAACTGAACCCTATGTGTCCAGGGACAGCAATGAGAGCATAGATACTTTGGGGAAGTTTTAGTTGCCTTCTAAAACAACTTTAGCAACCTTGATGCATCTTAACTAAGCTTCAGCTGGTTCTTTATGTGCTCTAGAGTACTGAGAGCACTGGGCTGGCACACAGCACACAGTGCATGCTCTGTACAGAGCCAACAAGAACTGCACCCACAGAGAATGATAACTTAAAGCTCTTTAAAAAAGAGGGGAGGCCTAGATATCTTTTATGTTGAGTAACAAAAAGTCTGTACACGTTCTGCAGTTCAATATTCTCTTTTGTGAGGTGCTTGCATTATTTGGCCTTCCCCCTAAGTAGCTGATTATCTATATGGAACTCATCTTCCTTGGTGAATCTGACAAAGTGAAATGCTTTGATATTGGCAGACAAGTGAAAGCACGGGGGTTCACACAGGCTGCAAAGAAGTATGTGTTCAGATGTGGTACCAGAAGCTTCCATTACTCTCAATTTAGAAGAGTCAGAGAGCATCAGAATAACTGAAAACATGCATAAGAGACTGCAGATACAGCTCCTGATCTGTATATGTCACTCTGAAATGACAGAATGGCAAATGAGACACTTGGTAGCACTTCACTCGGCTGAAAAGCTATTCTTCTAATGTTAGGAATTGAAGCCAGAGCCACAGGGAACTGGAAGGTGCTCAGAGACAGCAAGCCCTGCTGTCTTATAAACTGGCACATCATAATGAAGATGGCATAATGCATAGCTACCAGCAAACAGCACAGAGAGCACAACAGCTATTCATCCAGTCCCTAGCCATCCCCAGTGCATGCTTTAGACATATAGATGAAACTTCTTCTATGACACCAGAACAGAGAGAATTAAGAGGCACTGAACCAGGGATTTTGCTTGACAAGACATCAAAGAGGTAACAGCCACAAGAGGATCAGCAGGCTAATCTCCAAGACACATAAGTCTGAGAAGCAAAACCAGCTTGGCTATAGTGAGGCGGATCCATGGCACAGTGCAGAGCACCTGAGACGGACAGACCCATTCTGTAACTGAGCATCACTGCTTGGTAACCTATTTATACATGCTTTTTTTGAAATCAGGCAGCAGAACTGTAATTCTGAAAACCTCTGCTCATCAGTCTACAGGCCTGAGGGCTGTGTAAATTACTCTGGGGACTTGGCTTGTAGAGCTCCCAAGCCATTAGAAGTTCTGCTGCTAGGATACACAGGAGCTCCTCGCTGTCCGCAGGAACAAGCCATTTCGTTTCTAGCTTTGCAAGCCTGCCTTTAAAACAAGGCCAATGGGAAAATGCAGCAATTTCAATCTGTCTGTTAATGCAGAAGAGGCATGTAATTAGATGGTAGGATACACGCAAGATCCAGTCCCTGTTCCAAGGGACACTGGTTTTAATGCCCTTCAAAGTTAGAGAATTGCACCTCACTGTCATTCTCAATATGAAA